AAGAAGCACGATGTCATTCAAGTCAAAGACACACTATCACTTCATCCCCGCTACCAAGATCAAGATTAACAAAGATTATTTGCTTTGATATAGTGTTTTAGGTTTTTACTTTATGTGTTTATACTTAAAGCTCAAACCATATACGTACACGTTATTTCGGTTTATCGTATCATATATCTATCTAGGAATATATCATGTTTTTGAATTATTGACTTAATGATACTATTTTACATCTTTTCTAAAGTCTATTAATCTATTTAAAAGTATCTCAAAACTTATTTGAAATAGTTTTATCAAAATTAAGTGTTCAACAAACTCGTATTTTTGACCGTTTTGCAAAATAATGAGTTTTCACAAATGAGAAATGCTATTTTAGACATTTCTCTTCTAACATGTTTATTTTTATATGTATTAATATTTTACCAAGTTTTACTATTTTTAGAGTTGTTTTGCTATTTTAAATCGAATTTAGAAAATTAAATTTTCAACAAAATTCAAGTATCTATTGTATCAGTTTTTCAGTTGACCGAATGCTTGGATCGGTCGACCGAACAGTCTTTTCAGTTGATCGATGAAACTTTTTGGTCAACTTGCCAGAAGCAGTTTTTACAGCAATAGTTTTGTCAGTCAATCAGTCGACCGACCAATAGAGTCAGTCGACCGAACAATATCTTCAGTCGACCGACCAATTATGTTTTAGTCGACCGACTTTGCTTTATTTTTCCAGACTTAGCCAACGGTCGAATGTCTTAGTCGACTAGTATATTTAACCAGTCGACTGATCATGCTTTTTACTGTAACGACTAGTTTTGAGTTGTTTTCACTTTGAGGCTATAAATAGTCCTCAAGACCAATTTGAAACCAAGTTTTTTGTTTAGCCATTTTGAATCCACATTTTAAAAGAGATCAAGTGTGTTTGTTTATGTGGAAAAAGAGTTTTTTACAAAGAGAATGATCTCAATTTCGTTTTGAGGCGTTCATCCTCAAATCTCAATCTTTTTTTGTTTTGGAGAAGTTTTCTAAACTCTTGCTCTAGCTTATTAATATTTTGATTCTCATATATTTATGCTAGATTGATTTGAGTTTGATTTTATTTTACTCATTGTTTACTCACACAACCACTTGAGCTAGTATTTCACATTTAGTATAATCAGGCTGTGAGAGTGTATTCATTGAGAGAGCTTTACATTTTGTTCTCATTTATCTTGGAGAACATATCCTGTATTCAAACTTATTGTTAAACACGTTGTAATACACAAGGACACTTAGAAGAGTGGTTGGGAAAAACCAAGGTCAATTCCAAGAGGAGTGGGTTGGTTGTAAATCCTAGGGAGAGGTTTTAATTCCAAACACTTGAGGAATATGACACGAGTAATCCAACACTTAGAGAAGTGTACCTTATGTGATTGGCATCGTGTGAGTTGTAAAAGTTATCGGTGAACTTAAAAACTGTTATTGTGTAGTATTTGAGATTTATCGGAGATCTCCTCGAGGTGATGAGCGGAGACATAGGTCGATGGTTGACCGAACGCCGTGATCATATCGTATATTTGCGATTATCATTTATGTACTATCTCTCTTTACATTTTGTGCTTGTTTATATCGCCTATTGTGTCTTGCTTATCCTTGCATATCTTATTGTATATCATATTGCTAGGATATTACATTATAAGTTTTAGTTTGACATCAAAATCAGATTAGATTAGCAATTAACCTATTCACCCTCCTCCTCTAAGGTACTTTCACCTTTAAGGCCTGGAAGATTGAAGAAAGATGATTGGTTTCCTTTAGTTGAGAAAATAGAGAAGAGAGATTAGGATTATGAAAAGATAGATCATTGTCAAGGGGAGGAAGACTAGTTTTAGTTAACTCAGTCCTCTCCTCCATGCCAAATTTTTGGTTCTCCTTCTTTTTAGTTCCTTCATGGGTAATTGAAAAAAATGATAAGATGAGGAGAAGATTTCTGTGGATTAGGTCTTTGGAACATAAAAGTTTTACAAATTTGGTTAAATGGGATGAAATTTGTAGACCAAAACATTATAGAGGATTAGGAGTTATAAATCTAAAAATTACGAATAAAGCACTTTTGGGAAAGTGGCTCTTGAAATGGTTTGATGAAAATTCTAAATTATGGAAGCACATTAGTTTTCAAAAATATTTTGAAGAAGGATAGAGTATTTGCATTCTGGAAGATAATATTTATCACATTTTTGGAGAAACATTTTGGTTAATGTTGATAGCTTTTTATGCAGTACCCAAGTGGACGTGGGAAATGTTTATCATACTTTATTTTGGCTTGATAAGTGGTTAGGCTCAATTACTCTTGCTTCTCTCTTTCCACCATTATTTGCACTAACTTCATCCCCTTATGCCACCATTAGTAGTTTGACGAAGAAGGAACATAATTTGTGGATATGGGATGTATAATTTAGGAGATAATTGACTGGTAATTTAGTTTCTCAATATTTTGAAATCATGAATTTTCTCAATTCAGTTAATCTAGTGCAACATGAGGATAAAAGAAAATGCTTGTGAGATTCACAAAATATTTTTACTGTTAAATCATTTTATCAATTTCTTATTGATGGAGGATTGAGATATGATTGTGAAAATATATGAGGTCTTCCTATTCCTTTAAAAGTTAGATTGCTTATCTAGCTGGCTTGAAGACATGGCTTGAATACAAAAGATATTTTAGAAAAAAAAGGAATACAATTAGAGAAAACTTATTGTTTATACTCTAAGATGGAAGAAAATCATACACATTTGTTCCTTAAATGTGAGTTTGTTGACTCAATTTGGAAGTCAATTCAATTCAAATTGAATACTGAGGATGACTTCAGATTGGCTTCATTAAAAGATCTATGGTTAAGTTGGGGTATAAGCAGTGATGAAAAAAATCAATTTGAAACGGGATGTTCTCATCTGCTCTCTAACTTGGTGTGTGTGGCAAGAACGTAATGATAGACTGTTTTCTAACAAGAGGAAGAGATCTCTTGATCTTTTGAACAAAATTATGACTTACTCAACATTTTGGCTAAGTTTTAATGGATTGTCTGCTCGAGCTTCTAGACTGCAGGAAAGGAGGAGGAAAAGAGACAATGGGAGGAGAAATGTTCAGACTGTTGGAGCTGCTGGTGATAATGAGGGGAGTATTGCGGACAATGCAATAATACTGGAATTAAGATCAATCACAGAGAACTCCTTACTATGTTTCTTTTTGGATTATGTAGAGTGTTATGCTATAATACTTTTTACTCTTTTGTGAACTGTATGACTAGTGTTATGTACAGGGGTGTTTCTTTTATTTCATGACATGCATTTTTTTTGAACTAATAGCGCATACTCTTGGGTTGGGGGTATGTACTATCTATGTAACAACTTTTTTTTGTTAAATTAGCTAGCCGGAGTACCTTTGTGGTATTCCATCCTTTTTCTCAAT